TAGCACTTCACTCTACATACAAGAGTCCTTCAAGGCTCACCTTTCTCCATCTTTCATATATAAGATACATGCTTCAAAGTCCATTCCCTGTTCACCATTACCAATATGCTGATGATATTGCTTTGGAGGCTACTTATTCAATCACAGTTACTCTTAACAAAGTTATTCATATTACTCTCAACAACTTCTTTGCCTGGTAATGCTATTGGTATTTTACTTTTAGTGCTTCCAAAACACGAGCAATTATCTTTGGTCCCAAACTTCATGAATACTATTTACCATTCTTCTTGCAACCCATTTCTGTTTTATGTTACCTTAGATAAAGTTCCAATCCAACTATTTGATATGGTCAAATATGTTGGTGTCATTTATAATATGGAATACCCAAATGTGATTTCCCAAGCAGAAAGTCATTCGACACCTTCCATTCCCCCATTGCTTGTCTACACTTATACATTCACCAAACAATCCTTTCTGATGTATGGACGGGCATACAGCTTAGATTTCTACTCCCTTACTCTATTATAATAAACTACAAGTATCGAAGCACCATGCAATTACCTAGTCTTACCAAATACCTTTATACTCGCATTCATTTCCAACATACTTTTTTACACGTATGTACTCTACACACTAAATTAATTACCATCACAACAATATGTATTTTGGATATACTAATATACACGCCTGTTTCTGAAGACCTTTTGAACTTACACTTTTCTCTTCCAGTGGTAAATCATAACCACAATGCTGCTCCATGGCAGACTTATTATTTTATATTTATCCTTTATAAGATTCGAAATTTCAAACTCTATATTTTGACGATTCTATTCGATAATCCCTCTATATTCGATTCCTGCTCCCACTTTCTTTTCTTATATTGTGATTAATTCCTTGATTATTGAACTTTTCTCATGGCTGACTAGATGGCCAACCAATCCATGGGTTAGAATGAAATAATCATCAATATTTTGGGTTATCTAGTTCAACTGATGAGTTCTGATATTGACTGAAAGGTTACAATATTTCTAATATATTGGGTCTGGTTTTCAATTCCTCTTCATCCTTTTGATATTTAATCTGTAGCTTTTATATTTTGTACTACATTTATAAAATAGCACTTCCAAAAAACAACAACTTTTGTTCTCATCATCCAGCCCAACAGACAAGTTCTAGCACGGAACAAAAGACTTCTTGGAAATGACTTAAAACTCAAAAGGTATATCTGACACGTTATTTATCCAAACCTGTGATTTTGAATCCAAAATTGGCAAATTAAAAGGAATGTGGAAAAACATTCAGTTTACGTGATTTTTATCACAAATGGTACGCCTCTTGTAGCTTTTAAAGTATTATACTGCATATATAAATAGTGTTTGAAAAACGTTTTGTTTCTGGCAAGTTGGGTATTGACTAAGAAATTATGGGGCAGTAACTTGTGGGAGACAAAAGATATATCTTAAATGGAATTTTTTCATATCTCTGAATTTTAATACGAAGTGGACAAATTAAAAGGCATCTGTAGCTTATGTAATTTTCATCATAAATGTTAGGCCTATTAGTTCAATGCTTCATCGGCTTTCGGTGTTTAAACTTTAGTTTTTAACGATTTTCTCATTTTTACCTCAATCTGTACAGTATTTCAACATGTTTGATTAGGCGTCAATTGGTAAAGACTTAGAACGTTAGATCGGTTTTTCTCACATGAAAAAATACCAAGACTAAGTTTTTAGTTTCTAATGTGAAAAAATAAAATATTCTTCCTATCTTATATTTTCCCTTAGAACATAACAAGTTAGCCTTTTCGAACCACCAGTATAATTTGCATCTTTCTCGAGGCGAATTTGAACCCGAGACTACTCATAATAGTGGTGAGTATGCTACCAACAATGTTTCAAGGTTAACCCACTAGCACGTGCTGTTAACGCTCTATAGCAAGTCATAATGCCACCTTTCAGAAACAAAGTCCATCCTTGGGCTTTATCTTATTAATTTATCCACTAGATTTCGAACTCGGGACCTCTCGCACACTAGGAGAGTCTACCAACTAAGATGTACAGTTAATCTCTCAGTGCTTGTTAGTGAATCATATTTTTAACAACTAACTCAAACTACTACATTCTTCCATTATCTAATTTTTTATATTTCCTTGGGTATTATCGACTAACAGTGGGAGCCAGTATTTCTGGAGTAATCTCTTTTCTTTTTGTCTTCCTCGAGAAGTATTTGAACTTGGAACTACTAATATATTAAAAGAGTGCTCTGTCAACTAAGATATAGGGTTAATCTACATGCACTTGCTGGTAAGACGCTTTTTCAATAAATCAAACTACTGCATTACAACAATATACTTAGAAAAAATTTTTGAATTTTGTTTCAATATTCACTTTGAAGGTCATACGAATTCTACTGAAATTTTTGTGGAGTATTTTTAACTAGCATAAATGCTTTGCATAATTTCAGTTCACTATCTTTTATGTATGACGTTGAAGATACCGACATAAAAAATAAAAGTTGAATCATTTTATGTTGTAATTTGAACGGAAAGCCCTACTAATAACTTAATTAATACTAATTGCATGGTTCAATCATTAAAATAACAATGTCCAGGTAGGCTTCCCAGCCACATATGTCGCGAGAATTGCACTCAAATAATTCATAACAAAGAAAAATAAAAAAATAAATAGTTCATCTACTCTTTATTTGTCAATGTATATTTGGATACAGATGTTTGTGCGTTTACTGTTTATTCCCATTAATTTTCCTATCATGATCAACTTATATACTTTTTGAAGAATATTTTTTAACGACTCAAACTCAACGGATTAATTTCCTTCACTAATGGACTCTAATCATTAATGTTTTCTATTCCTTTATCAACAAATATTTTTAATTGTATCAAAAATTTGAGCAAAAGGAAAATAATTCAAGAACAATTATAAATGGTAAAAGAACTTGAAGGAGTTGCAGATTGTCTGAGATACTTATGAACTAAATAAGAATTGTTTGTTAACTATCCATCATTTCAACATGGGTGAAAATGCAAATTAAGTGAATTTCATTCATATGTTTTAATCTGTTAGAAAAAGCTAAAAATAAATAATAAATCATTTTTTCTCAATAGAAATATATTTTCTGCAGAGTAAGAAACGACTTTATTAAAATTTGCAAGGTACAAGTACAAACAATATCTTTATACACTTACGATAGAATCAGTGTAGACTTTTACTATATTTAGCAAAATTTAAACAAAAACAGTGAACAACAAATTAATGTTCTAGCGGTGATAAGTTTTATGATTAATTATCTTATATAAATAATAGCATAGAAATGCTATATCTGTTCATTATGCAATATACTTGATTTAGTTTATTGTAAACACTTCAATTTGTTTTGGTTGTTTTCTGTCGAGTGAAAAAAAATGAAATGTATTAGAAGACATCATAATATTGAAACTACACTGATTCTGTGACATCTTTATCATTCGTCAAGCAAATACTGAAGCTTATGTCGAAAAAATAATGTATGTCTTACAGTTCTTTATATAAAACACTAAAAGTAACTGCAGTATTTCAATATTAGGAATTACTAGACCACCGTGACCCGTTGGGTCAACCACTATTCAGAGGTTATGAAGAATTCAAGCTAAGTT